GGGCCTTTGACTCTGTTTCGAGGAACTTACTCTAGAGGAAACTTGATCATTTGCTTCCTGATAAGAGATTACTATTCCTTATCAGGAAATTGTATGTGGCTACATCTTGTCAGATTAGATGCCCTCCCTCTGGAAGATTTACACCAATGATTAATATAAATAAAGGGGTTAAGCAGGGCTGTATTCTGGCCCCTTCCCTTTTCAATCTTTTTTAAAATGGCTTTGCCCCTTTTCTGTCTTCAGTTGATGGACACAGCCCTAGACTTGGCTCTATACATATATCTTTACTGCTGTACGCTGATGACGCGGTCCTTTTGTCATTGACTCGTTTGGGGTTAAAGCGTTTACTTGATCGCTGCTATGAATATTGTGCTGCCAACTACCTGGAGTTAAATTATGAGAAGTCCAAAGTAGTGGTCTTTTCCAACTCCTGGAAGTTTCATGACTGGAAAATCAATGGCCATTCCTTGGAACAGGTCAAGGTCTTTAAATATCTTGGTGTTCGTTTTCAATACAATGCCTCTTGGGTATGTTAACAAAAAACAGCAATTAATACGGCCAAAGTAAATGCGACAGCAATTTCCAAATTTTATTTTTCAGGAAGAGGTAACCAGTATATACCTGCTGCTTTAAAAGCCTTTAATGCTAAAATAGGGACCCAGTTATTATATGGGGTGCCTATTTGGATCAATACAACTGGAAATCTCATAGAACAGCCTCAGTCCTATTTCCTGAGGAAAATCTTTGGGGTGCCAATGTGTGTCCCATATGCGGCTTTATGCCTGGAATGTGGCCAGATTATGTTGATAACTAAAGCATGGCTAATTACAATTAAGTATTGGCTTCGCCTTCTTTTCAATTCGGACCCCTTCTAGTTACATCTATCAGCTTCTACTGGAATCTAATGACTCTAACTGGATTGCCTATATAGAATCCAAAATTAAATCCCTGGATATCACCTTAGATTCCTTATTCCTTACTTCCGAATCTGAGGCTTTTTTAATTATAAGAGCCAATGTACTTTGTTCTGAGCTACATTCACGGCAGTTTGGTGTAGTGGTTAAGTGTGCAGACTCTAATCTGGGAGAACCGGGTTTGATTCCCCACTCCTCCGCTCGCACCTGGCTGGATGGGTAAGCCGTTGTTCTGACAAGAACTGTTCTTGAAAAAGAGCCATTTCTGTCAAGAGCTCTCCCAGCCCCACCTACCTGTTGTGGGGAGGGGAAGGGAAAGGAGTTTGTAAGCCGCTCTGAGACACCTTTGGGTAGTGAAGGGCGGGGTATAATGCCGCTAATAAAACCTGTTCACTCCGGTATTTTGGAATATCTCTTAAAGTCGGCCAAGCTGCCTCTTATCTGTACCAACTTCACACCCCCAAACTCCGTAGAGCCCTCTCTTTGGCGAGATTCAATGTGTTACCTTCGGTCTTATTATCTGGCCGCTTTCAGGGTGTGCCCTTTTCTGACAGATTTTGTCCATGCACAAATGATAATATCAGAAGGGCTGGAGGGAACCAGGACCTTTGGTTTGTTTGTCCGGTTTTCCTTTGGCATTCACCTTGCCCCAGCCTGGAGAGTGAGAAATCCCCCAACCCACAGATAACTTTCATAGAAACAAGGCTGTGGGTGTGGGAGGGGGGGTTGTGCAACACAAACGGGAGAGGTCTCTGGTTTATGATCTTCCCAGCAGCCAAGCACCAGAGGGGTGCTCCCCCTGCTGTTCCCTGCACAAAACCAGCCGCTCTGGGGGCCAACCCTGCTGGGGGGGAAAGAATGCCGGCCGCTTTAGGTGCTCATTGGACCGGCCTACCTCACAGGGCTGTTGTGAAGATGAAATAGAGGAGAAGAAGATGCCTGTAAGCTGCCTTGGGACCCCACCGGGGAGAAACACATCATCATCATCATTGGAGTGTCTCCAAGCCCCCTTCCAATCTTTCATCTCCCCCCCC